ATTTCGTCAGATGACGTTGACATAATAAATGAAGCGTTACTTTGCCGTTCCAAGCGTACACACTATTGTTGTTTTTGTACGCAGTCCGCGAAACACTGAACTCGCTGCCATCAACAACTTCAAAGTGGCCATCCTTTCAAAAATTTCAGTCTCAACAACTACAAAAGCATGTAGTGAAAAGTGAGTGGCAATAATAAGAAGAGGAGAAAGTTTAGAGAAAAAGTTGAAAACACAGGTTTATAACCTTACGTGGAAGAGAGGTGATGCTGTGAATGATTGACTGTCTCAAGCCCACACGCTTTCTGCTATTGTTGAGAAACGTACCTTGTCAATAATCTGCTCGAAAAATACTTCGACAGAGCAGCTATTTATGTCGTCATGACCTCTAGACGAATGTATGAGCACGGAAAGCTTTTTGGAACGAATTTTTGAGGCCTTAACAGCGATAATACAAGTTAGTATTTGTGAGACAGCACGTAAGTGAAAGAACTGAAAAATACCTTGTAGCCGAAGACGAATAATAAGGAGTCAATAACATTACTCTTCCCTGAACCGTTGGGACCGATGATAGCGGTAAAATTCTGAAAAAAAAAGTTGCTAGACAAAAAGTATGAAAAATGTTCAAGATCGAGTTTGTAGAGCATTAAGAAAATGGAAAAAAAAGTCTAGGACATCTGTTCAATCGCATTTTCTACTTCTTGCTAGACTATTCTCGGACAAGTACCTATCATGGGAAACGTGAAGCAGGCAAATGGGAATGACAACAATTTTACTGCTGTGCTTGTTTCGCCTCGGTCAAGACAACTGGATGGACCTCGTCACAATCCTCTTCTTCTCCTCAAGGTAATCCCGCGCAGTCGCTGATTCCGCTATTCTTGTTAGACTGGTCACTGTTCTCGCCCAAGGCATCTTGCCGTGGCCACAACTTCACTGAGGTCCTTCTTTATGACGTCCCTCCACCACATCTTTGGGGATCTCGTCACAATAAATGCAAGAAATCCGAACAAAGAAAAAAGGGATGTGGAAATGAATAACTTTACTTTATGAAAAGGACCAATCCTCTGTTTTCCGTAGTAGGACTTGAAATTGGTAGCGACAATTTCTCTGATGACAAGCCTCGCTCCGCTCCCATCAGGTTTCATGCACGGTTGCGGCCTCGGAGGGATAACCTGGAGTTGAAAGAAGTATGTGGTCCACAACGACCATAATGATGTATAAATCGCATACCATTCTCAGCAAATCCTCACTTTCAAATTCTTCGACGAACTCGTTCTCTTCTTCAGAAGAACTGCCTCCTTGCTTCTAAATGACACAAATAGTTGTTGTAAGTTAAAAGATAGGCTCACTGACCTGTTCTGCTTTTTTCTTGTTGTCCTTCGAAAGACCTTTGCTACCCTTGGCCGGTGTATTGGGTTTGGCCTGCTTCCTCTTGAGACCTGGAGGAGATTTTGTTGGCGAAGAATGTCGTTTCTTCGCCGGCTTCCTCTTGGGTTTCTCATCATCTAAACATTTTATCCTCTAATATTCCGACATTCGGGTAGATTGATGGCTTCTGCGAAAGGAGAAACCAAGACGTTACCTGAGCTGAAATCACTATCATCGTCCGATTCTACCCGCTTCTTCCTGGCCATATTTATACAAGTATTGAAATCTGTAACCATAACATTTCACATTGACTGGAAAGTGAAGAGCAAGGCAAACGCTGTGATTGTGAGTTACTTGTAAGCGAACCGAGATGATCAAGAAATCAAAGAAGATCACAGGGAGAAACATAAATGCAGCATACGTAACATGAGGCCGTACCCTAACCTCCCCACACGCTGGAGGAAGAAAAAATCCGTTTGAATTCTCTTCGTCTTTCCGACCAGAATGTCCCTAAGAAAGGGCCTACTTGAAATGTTATGTGTGTTTAAAAGTACGTATGTACTGAGAATAAGGAACTGTGTCGTTGAAAAATGAATAAGTTGGAGGGATATTTTCTTCCCTCAACCTGGGAAAAAAGCGATACGCCCAGTGAACGGTGTGAAAGGCAATATAAGGGAGAGCTTTTAGAAAAGAGGTGAACTTCACAAGTTCGTGGATCACTACCTAAAGGACATGAGTAGGTCATAACCTGGAAACATCTACATTACTATTTTCAACTTCAAAGTGCTTTTCTGCTGAATGAACGACTTTCTATCAAACCTTGCCTTATGGTAAACTTTCAGTTATATTAGTTGTGAAGGAAACAAATGTCAAGCATCTTGTGCTGGAGATTTCAAAAAGAATGCACAAACCAATAAAAACCATCCACATACAAATGAAAAGTAATGAGCACAAAAACACACAAAAGCAGATTCCAAGAAAAGCTGCTTAGACAAAGAATGAACACTTCTCGGTTTTACCTATCAACTTTCAAGCTATTGATCTTCTCAATAATACTACAAGAGACTCTTACTTTGAAATACATCTTTACAAGGAGGTGTAGCAACGAGAACAAAGCTTACAGCAAGCCAAAACACGATCTTCAATTTTCCCGCAAATTTGCGTTCGAACACTTTCAGACAACTCGTACGCAAAGGCGGAGCATTGCACGGCGAATATTCCGCAATTGTACTCCCGTATCCTTGCAGCTAAACGTTCTCGAAATAATTTGGGTGACGTTGGGTGCAGCGAAAGTTTGAAATAATGCTAGCAATTACAATTTCCTATCTTAACGGCTCCCCACAAAACCTGCACTGGGAATGTGGTGGACTACTTTGAACTCTGCCCTTTAAACCGCCTCTGCGCTCTCTAGCGGGTCCCTCTCCTCTCCAAGGCTTAGTCCTAGGGCATTCTCTAATCGTCTGTGCTCTAGCCATCGCGGCAGGACCATTGAGGAAAAATCAAGTAGTCCGTAAACCGCCCTACGACTACTTGAACTTTCTTTCCTTGTCCTGCAGGGATGGCGGAAGGCACAGACAGTTGGAGAACGACCTTGGCTCCAAGTCCCATGGAAGGGGGTGAGAGCAGGGTGAACCCTACGTTGCGCAAAGAACAACGAGGGGGGTCGTATTTGGCCGAAGGAAAGGGGAGGGGGTAGTATACGGAGGGGATCAAGGTGCACTTTCACGCTCGAAAAAAAAAATTAACAACGATCTCTACGAGCCTGCCACCGCCAGCAGGCTGCCGGCAATTCACACAGACAAGAGCTCCATGGGAACATTAGAGCATGCACATGCATTATAAGTCTCACCATCAGCATCATCGCTATCCTCAATACACGGACCGCACTTTCGAAACATTCCTGAAGTCTCAAGGAGACAAAGTGTAGAGCAGTTCATGGGAAAGTAAAACAACCATCAAACCATAAAACACACAATGGTACCGCAAAACATACAATGCAATTCGATCATGTACTATCACCTTCTTCGGGAAAAGTGGAGGACCTTCAAATGCGAGTGCGAATTCTGCCCACAGACAGGTGCACGGCGTATACCCGAGCAGGCGTTTCCCATAAAAACGCCTCCTCTGTCAGCGGCCGTAAGCAGACAAACTTCCTCAAGAAAATTTTGATGCTTTCAAATCAAATCTAAGCGGAACAAAATGTAGCGAACTTGCTGAATTGAATTTCAAAGACCCCTTATGAAATTGAAGCAGAAGAAGAATTCCATGAAAAGTTTACGCTTGTAATGGAGTACTCTTTGCGTAAGACCTAAGGATCTTTACCGTTTCTCATTTATGGAAGTTATACGAAGTTATGGGCTTTTGAAGATTGCAAAGTCGCGGTTCAGGAAAAGGCTTGAAAAAAAGTCAAGGTGGAAAAAACGGAACAACGGGACTATTTTTTGAGCGAGTGATTATTTTAAAAAGTTTTAGCACTTATTCGGAAGCTCTAATCTTCTAGTTTCTAATTAGCCTTAGACATCTGCAAAAAGTTGATTATGAAGAAAGTTATGAATGTTTGAATGTCGAAAACTCGCGTGTGCACAAAAAACGGAACAACGGGACGATTTTTTTAAATATTGAACATCCGCAACATTTCAAATACTTTTTAGGAAGAAAACTATTTGAATTTTTAAAATTTTGGTGTCCGGTTCCATGAAACCGCTTCTGAAGAAAAAGCCTCTGAAGGGAGAGGGTGTATTCCCCACGTAATGCCATCAAGGGTAGTTTTTAAGCATTGCTAAAGAAGGCAAAATTGAGAGATCGAAAAAAAAACTTGTGGTAGAAATCTTTGATTATATCATGTATTGGTTTACGCAAAAATTTGGAAATTCCTTCTATTTAATGAATAAAACTTCATGTTGCCTCGATTCCTCCTCTGAGCGAGACAGAGCGCGCGGATTGACCACGGTCCACCACTTCTCCATGTTGGTGACTGCCCACACATCAATGATGAGCATTAAATTATGTGAAAGACATAATAGTTAATAGGGGGGGTCGTACCGATACCCTCCGAAAAGGAAGGGGGTCGTAAAAATTTTGGAATTTGCGCAACGCAGGGTTGACCCTTGGGTGAGAGCCCTAGGACTAAGCCTTGGGGGAGGGAGGGACTTCAAGGTGGGTGAGCCAACTACAGTGTGGCAAAAGTTTGAATGTGTGAGATCACAATGGTCAGAAGCCGCTGATAAGGTGAGAGTTAAAGGACCGGGTTTAAGTAGTCCGTCAACCGTAGGGCTCACCCACCCAAGTGTCCCTCCCCCTCCCCCTAGACTTAGTCTTATAGCTCTCACCTTCCTCCTTGGGATTTCGAGCCACCTCTTCTCCAATCGTCTGTGCTCTAGCAATTCGCGGAAGGGCCATTGGATCTATTCTTTTGAGTGAACTTCCTAAAATCCTATCGCCTATTATTCTAATCTCCCAGGTCGTGAGCCGGCTTAAAATAAGATCCGCCGAAAAAGGAAGACACTGGCCACAATTAACTAAAGCATCGATCATTCTTGGTCTACGGACGACTTGAACTCGGTCCTTGCAAACCGCGTCGACTCGATGCTCTCGCCTGCGCTCTCTCGCTTAAACAGCGGCTTATGATTATTGTGATCTGACACATCAAACTTTGCCACAATGTAATTGGCTCACCCACTCCGGAGTCCCTTCTCCCTCCAAGGCTTAGTCCTAGGGTTGTCACCTTCCTTCTTGGGTTTTGGAGCCGAGCCAGGCGCCGTTCTCTAATCGTCTGCGCTCTGGCCTTTCGCGGGGAAGAGTTCAGGTAGTCACGTAATCACTATTCTTGAAATCTACCGCAACATTCCGAAGTAGAGCCTTGAGCGTTAACCAAAGGGGAGTCATCATCAACGCACGTTTGCGCATGCGTAGCCCTCTTTGGTTAGCGCATGCGTGTTCAGTTTCATCGTGGTCCCTCCACAACCAGCCTGTAGGGGTTTTCGAGAGGCTTTCTGCAGACCTCGGACTGCAGCCTAGAGGCAGGTCAGTCAAGCAGATCCGAACCATCGAAAGCATGAAAGCGTCCGGCGTTGATCAATCCCATCTTGGTACGCGCAGTGCACTCGACTTCTGTTCAGAACCTAGTGGCCACTGAATGCGATTTGGCCTATCTAATGACTTGCGGGGTCCGCTATGTACAATTCAGTGCTTTTATTCATCCGGACAAGTCTGCTACCAATTCGAACCTAATCGACCCGTGGGGGATGGAAGGCTTGATTGGCCGAGACGCTGTACGAAAAGGGTAGATCTGTAACCACGTGCGTGGTAAGTAGAGCCACTTTCCACTGCACCAACAGCAAACTAATGATGTCGATTGCTGCGGAGGTGGTCCCGAAATCACTTGAAAATGGCTAAGGTGACAATAGTGGGTGGATTCTCGAATCCGGCCCGTTCAGTAGGAATTCCTAACCATCCCATTCAAGCGGTACTGCAAACCGCCGTCTTTTCAGCTTGAAACGCTTCTGGAGTAGCGTGCAGCACCAACAACTCGTTGGTGCAGACGCCTTGAACGGTTCACAAGGAGACACTATCGCTATTCCGGGTGACTGGTTCACTAAGCTCTTTTATGACGGCAGAGAAGTCAAAAAATGCTGCACTGCACAAAGTTGACAGCCTAAATGGTAAGAGCATGGAAATTTTGAGAGGTTTCGCTGCTCTCAGCAGGTCTTCTCGCCTCTGCTTATACTCGGTTCGATCCTAGACATACTTTTGAGGGCAATAATACTCATTTTGAAGACAGCGATTACTATAGTTCGAAAAGGGTTCAGAGGAGACGCTCAGTGGTGGTGCTCAATGGTACGTCAGTGGCGAACAAAGCGGAAAAATACGAGACCCCTTTTTTGACCACTGTTTTTCATACATTATACGAAGTTATACGAAGTCCTGCTCAGCAACCAGCGCACCTTTCGTTGTGAAAGCGCCACATCTCGCTTCCCTGGCAGCCAAGTAACTGATTCGTGTGGTGCATATGCTTCCCCGATGCGCTCCCTCTTTAATCGCTGCCTTCAAAGAGGTGGACACGATAAATTCGTTGAGAAACTCACAGAGTGGATTGGATAGGAGACTGTCCTATGAGCTGGTGGTTGGCTGGTGCATTACCAATGGCGTGACTGGGTATCGAACCCAGTTCCGGTTTGCAGCACCACCTAAGTAAGTATCGTACTAGAAGTTGTTGCAACGGCAGTGTAGCTGATAAAATGCCGTTATCGTTATTTTCATTCCGCTG